AAGGTAAGGCATCTGGAAGAGTGAGTAAAGGAGTCTAAGGAGAACAGACTAAGTTCAAAATAGCTATTCTTACAATTTTAGCTCTTTTACTAATCTTGTCAAAGAGATAAGCAAAAAAAGATGAATAAAAAGAAAGCTAAGAAGTATCTGAGCTGGACTTTAGGTCCTGCTAAAATAGGCTCATATTAGCTCTACCGTGTCTCTAGAATAACTATCAATGTACTTGTTTGCTTTCCTCCATAAAATTATAAATTACATTGAGAGCAAAAAATGTTTATCTTGTTCATCATTGTATTTCCATGAGCAAGCATCTGGCACTCAGTAAATACTTCACAAATGAACAAATATATGAATATGTAATGGATACAATCCCCATAAAGCTAAAAATTCCTTAATGGTTAGTGTTTGATAGATAATATGACAGAAAAGTAAAAACAAACAAACAAATAAAAAACAGTCCTTGGCTGGTATTTAAATTGTCTTCCTAGACCTATTTAGGTCAAAGACAGAATCTGTTCAATGAATTTAAAAGGCATCAGGGAAAAATTCAGTATCTTAAAAAAAGTACACCAAATAGGTTTGGGTTATAGTCAGATTAGAGGTTGAATCTTACCGTTAAGCTAAGTTAGTAAGAATTAATTTATATGAAGTTTTAGGGAAATGAAATATTCTACACAAATGAAACCTCACTCTACCATTAAGAAACATACTTTTATATTTCTTATCATTTTGGATAGAAATGATAAAAAATACATTTCACATTTCCTGGCATTCAAAACACAGCTGAATGAACATGATTTAGCCTTTTCTGTCATCACTATGCTATCAAATTATTATACCATATAATGCTGTGGAGGGCTGAGTTACATAAGAGCTACAAGTCTCTACTCTGAGTAGACCAGTATTTTACCTGTATTTTTAAATTCTTAATTTCTTTTTTTCAGTTAAGTCTGTTTCTTATTGTCAAAGTGCTTGTCTACCCTTTGTTATTCTAATTTGGATTAGGCAGAAATATGTTTGTGAATTTATCACTGAACTTTTTAAAAATTAAATCATAGTTGTGTACATTAATGCAATTATGGGGTACAGTGTGCTGGTTTTATATACAATTTGAAATACTTTCATGTAACTGGTTAACATAGCCTTCACTGCATTTTCTTAGTTATTGTGTTAAGACATTTATATTCTGTCCCACCTCTCTCTGCCTTTCTTCTCTGCTCTCTCTCTCTTTTCCCTTCTCTTCCTCCTAGCTCTTTTCTACTCTCTCTCTCTCTTCTCTTCCCCACTCTCTCCTTATCTTTTTCTTCTCTTTTCTCTCCTCCTTAGTGTTGCTCTGCAGCCTCCCTCCCTCCACCAATAAAGACCTTTCATACAAAAAAAAAGACATTTATATTCTACACTTAATACATTTAACATGTACCCTTGTAAAATGCACCATAGGTGTGGTCCCATCAACTATCCTCCCCTTCCCTCCCCCGAACATTCTTTTGTTCTATTTAGATTTAATCACTGTGTGCAACTATTACTTTTACTAAGGAAGGGGGAGGCCAAGTTTGTGTATGTGTATGCAGAATAAAAAGACTTGAAGTAGAGATCTACATTCTACCTTTACTTTTAAGGGCAGGGGATTTTACAGTGTAATTTTAATTATTTGCCAACTCACAGATTCACCCAACCATATATATATATTTATTTATTTATTATTTTGCTTTTTTTCTGATTCTCAACTATGCCTTCAATAACTTGAGATTGCCAAATTAAGTAGTTTTTTCTAATTAGTTATATTCTTTAGACATCAAACCAATCTGAAAATGCAAAAATAAAACTAATCCAAGTACCAATCTTAATTATCCTTGTATGTTGAGAAAAAAAGTGAGTGGATATGAAAGGGTTAATACTGGCAAAGTATTAATAATGTTTGGTTGTTTTTTTTTTTTTTAAAGAGACAGTGTTTCACTTTATTGCCCTTGGTAGAGTGCTATGTCATCATAGCTCACAGCAACCTCCAACTCCTGGGCTTAGGTGACTGTCTTGCCTCAGCCTCTCTAGTAGCTGGGACTACAGGTGCCTGCCACAATGTCTGGCCATCTTTTTTTTGCAGTTTGCAGGGACCAGGCTCAAACCTGCCACCCTCAGTATATGGGGCTGGTGCCCTACTCATTGAGCTACAGGCGCCACCCATAATGTTTGGTATTTTTATAACATACTCAGAATATTTTTAAAATGTTATCTATAAACACAAATCAATAAAGGCTTATTATCATACAAGTCTTTTCATTGGATATAATGGTTCTGTTCTTTTTTTTTTTGTATGAAAGGTCTTTATTGGTGGGAGAGGGAGGCTGCAGAGCAGCACCAAGGAGAGAAAAAGAGAAGAGAGAGAGAGAGAGAGAGAGAACAGAGGAGAGAGGCGGGAGGAGGGGGAGAGAGAGCGGTTCTGCTCTTTTTAATTTCACATTATTTGTTTTAGAGACCTCTACCTGCCTGCATACGCAGACATAAAGTTGTGTTTCAGGACAAAGCAGTATTATAAAATATTTTCATATTCCTGAACAAAAATTCTAACATATTAAAATATATCTGATTACTTGTATTATTTCATTTATTTTCATCTAGAATTCTTAGGAAGTATTTTTTTCTAAAATATTGAAGTTTAAGTTTAAAACAAGCAGCAAGGCTGGGCAAGGTGGCTCACGCCTGTAATCCTAGCACTCTGGGAGGCTGAGGCGGGTGGACTGACAGAGCTCACAGGTTTGAGACAGCTTGAGTCACAGAAAGTCCTCATCTCTAAAAATAGCTGGGCGTTGTAGTAGGTGCTTACTCCCAGCTATGTGGGAGGCTGAGGCAAGAGAATTGCTTGAGTCCACAAGAGTTTGAAGTTGCTGTTAGCTATGCCATGGCACTCTACCGAGGGCAACAAAGTAAGACTCTGTTTCAAAAAATAAAAACAAAAATAAAAAAAGCAACAAATATGAAATGTGAATGTTACTTTCTTTGCATTATTATTATTATTGCTTAATATTTCGATGCAGCAATAGTCTAATTTCTTTTCTGAATGTATTTATCTTCATTCGTTCTTTACGAGGTTTTTGTTTCTAGTCCTTATCTTAAACATTGTTGTTGTTATTAAATTTTAAGCCTTTTTAATTTTGTGAAGGCAAAAAGTAGAAACCTAATAAACACATGCATATGTAAAAAAAAAAAGGAGCAAATGCGAAATAAAATCTGAAGTGCTCAGCAGAACTGAAATGAACTAAATATTTGCCAATAATGTTCAACACAAGATAAGGAATATAAATTGAAACAAAAAAGGGTACAAATGCTATCACTGATCTATAAACAATTAAATAATCTTAAAATGAGTAATCTATTGTGATCTTTTAAAAAGGTAACCATAAGAATGCAGAAGTTTTGGCCAGGCTTGGTGGCTCACACCTGCAATCCTAGCACTCTGGGAGGCTAAGCAAAAGCTAGACCCCAGTCTCTACTAAAAATAAAAACTGAGGCAAGAGAATCATTTGAGCCAGAGTTGGAGGTTGCTACAGTTTAGAATAGTGGTTCTCAACCTGTGGGTTGCGACCCATAGGAACTGTAGTAAAGAGCCACGGCATTAGGAAGGTTGAGAACCACTGGTTTAGAAAAAAAACCCAGCCTAACTGTTAAGAGCTATACATCAATTTTATGACAGGCAAAAATGTATTTTCACTACATATACTTTCTCCAATGTAAAATCTGTGAAAAAATAGCTGCCAATGAGCCAACTCTTAAACCCAGAGGCCATCTGTTTATGAATGAGCAGAGAAAAAGTTTCTGCTAAAACCTATTGTGGCAGGCGCCTGTAGTCCCAGCTACTTGGGAGGCTGAGGCAAGAGAATCACTTAAGCCCAGGAGTTGGAGGTTGCTGTGAGCTGTGATGCCACAGGACGCTACTGAGGGTGAGAAATGAGACTATGTCTCAAAAAAAAAAACCAAACCAAACAAAAAATCCGATGTATACCTGTAGAATTCAGACTTTTCTGTGCTCTTCTATATAAGGCTGCAACCAGAGCAAATTAATGGTGTTCTATAGCAAAGGCAGAAAAGCTGGATAAGAATCATGTTTCAGTGCTAGAAATTACAACTATAGAAATCACTGTAAGGCTAACAGGGCAGAATCTTTATAGAATGAAAGCTCTAGAATCTCCAGATTATATCTTATTTTTTGTCCAATGGGAAAAACAGTCCAGACTTAATCCTTAACAAAACTATCTTAAGCTAAAATGACAGAGTTTATTACAGGCCCCCAAAATATCAAAGAAAACTCTTAAGAATATAAATCGAGAAAGGGTCATGAACTGGTTCAACACACTTAATGGTGGTTTATGAATTACAATGAATGCTGCTACTCTCTAGAAATGAATGTATTAAAAAGGAAATAACCTCCTTGGCATGCTTACAGCTATACAACTCATTTGTTTCACTGCTTTCAAGCGTCAGTGCTGAAGGCTCAGCGTAAGTCAATGGGAGGAGGATTTGAGTCACAGCTGCAAGTAGGTCTACTGAACAGATAGGATGACATACTCCGGAAAATAACAAGCAAATGAGAGGTAAGTACTTAATACCTAAATATAGAATTAATCAAAAGGCCTTCTTTTTTAAATCTTCAAGATCTCTGCTACCATAATCTTTCATTTCTATTCAGTGATTTAAAAACTAAATTGAAAAATTTACTAATGCCAAAGGGGAAATTTTTAATATGAGATTTGTGATTTTATGAACAAATGGTTTGATCTTAGTTTCCCCTCCTTCCCAAGAGAAGGAGGAAAGTTAAGGCAAAAAAAAAAAAAATTGGTTCAAATTTGGAAAATTTAGTGATTAACTTCAGAAAATATTTGTTGCAGAAACATGCTATGAAATATGAAATTACTAAAAACCATTTGGAGCCCAGTAATATTTTTTCTTCTCCCAAACTAAAGGAATTCCAAAATGTTTTACAGAAATGCAATTTATACTAGTACCAAGACAAACCTGATCAGACAAAACCAATTACATACAACAATTCCTAGCTGATAAATTATTTAGACTCTAGTTAGGCTTGGAGTGTTTCTAGGTCTTATTTGGGATTATTTAATGCTTTGACTTTTCTACTTTTCTGTAGTAGAGGTAAAAAGACATTCAAGGGTCAGGCAACACCTATCTTTTTGTTATAACCATTGAAAAAGTTAATGTTTCTCCTGTTTCACTAACAGTAATAGCTGAGATATAATATTTTGGGGGATTTGGCTACATTGTCACAAATGTACAATATACCTGTTGAGAAGGGAGGGGCTACTATGTTCATGCTGAATTTTGGAAATAAATAAAATAATGCAATCTGCATATTTTGTATCTGTGGGAACTCTCTGACATTTGAATTCAAACATGACTTTATAATTACAGTTTAAATGAAAGAGGGAAACTAATAAATAGCATCTTCTTTTCCACAGTGATCAGTTTCTTTCACGGAGCCTTCTGAAAACTAAACCTCCAGAAAACACTAAATACCTGGAGGTCTCACCTATAAACATGGACAAATGCGTACTTCTCATTTCAGAGAACTGGGATTTTTCTTTTTTTTTTTTTTAAAGGAAGGAGTCAACTTTGGCTTTGAGTGTTTGGCGCAGGTACAATGCCTTATAAAAGCAGATGACTGGCTTTGCTACTGACCATGCTGATGACCACCGTCCAGAACTGGATCGAAGCACAGAAAAACAGCAAATGGCTCTTTCTTATAGAATGTCTGAACAAAACACAATTCCTGAACACAATTTGCAGAGCACATTTGATCACTTAATTTCTTCTAACCGTACTGGATTACAGACAGAATCAATACCAGAAGAAATGAAACAGATTGTTGAGGAACAGGGAAATAAACTACACTGGGCAGCTCTTCTGATACTCATGGTGATAATACCCACAATTGGTGGAAATATCCTTGTTATTCTGGCTGTTACACTGGAGAAAAAGCTGCAGTATGCTACCAATTACTTTCTAATGTCCCTGGCAGTGGCTGATATGCTGGTTGGATTGTTTGTGATGCCGATCGCCCTCCTGACAATTATGTTTGGTAAGTATTTACTCTGTTCCTGCCATCAAATTATGGAACTATGATATACTGTTAGAGAACTGGATATTCATTTAATCTTTATTTTCTCTGAAATAAAAAATGGACTATTTAAAGATTCAGAACGTAAACGATGCTTCATTTTTCATCATTTTCTATAGCTGATCATCAGTTTTAAAGAGCAAAAAATAATTTCTTAGAAACAATTTTATTTCCTCATAAGCCATCTTAATATAATCATTTAAAAAACCACGCAAGTTAGCAGTATTTGTAGATTGTACATACATTACCTGAAAACTATAATGAATAGACCTATACCTTAACTTTCCTATATCATTATTTTTGGAATTGTTCTAAGAATTCTTGTTTTATTTCTTAAAAGTCTGTTACTTTAAACTTGAACACAACTTCTATATATGTTATGTTAAGAAAACTTGTTTAGTAATTGAAGGAAATGGCCTGGCTCAGAGTATCCCAAGAGATAATCCATCTGTTTGACTTTTTATATTATCTGACCATATGTCTTCATAGAAATCTATGTTAATAAAAAAAGTAGACCAAACTATGAGCTATTATAATAAAAAATGTAGCTTAATACTGAAATCCCAGTTTGTTATAATAAAAGAATAGTGACATTAAAATAGATACGAGTAGTTTCTGATTTATGCATATCATGTCTAGTTATAAAATTTGGGTAAACGCAAATAATCCTGCTGATAAATCGTAAAGCTCCTAGATCCCTGGAATCAGCAGCAACTTAACTTATTCAATGCTTGGTGTAAACTGATATTCCATTTACAAACTGCTTAAGAAAAATTATTATTTGTAGCATGTATGGTTTCTTAGGATTAGACTTGGTGAGAATAAAAATATTTTAAACTGCAGAAGTGAAATTTATTAAACTAGAATCTACTTTAGAAGGTGAAGAAAAACTACTATCAAGAAAAACTACTATCTATTATAGCCAGGTTTAAAATGTTACACTTTAAGTAAGTAGTAACAGAAAAACATCTTTAAAAAGTACTTGTTCTCTTAAATATAAGAAGGTTAGGGTTTACTCAGTCTTTTAAATAAATCAAGAAAATTCTATATCAGGACAAGCAGCAATAAACAAGATTCTACTGCTTTAATTAGGCTTTTAATCATTAATATTTAATTATATATTTGTAATCTTTTGGATAATCTAAAACATAACCATGAAAAATAATTAAGAAATCTTAACAATAACATAGAACCTAAACAACCTTAATTCTGAAAAAAGTAAATAAGAATTATATACAAATACATATGCATATTTGATAAAGACCATACGGGTGTATGATTTGAACTCTCATTTCCATGTACACACACAGTAGCTTAAAATGTAAAATCATACTCTTCAAACTTTGCTTAGTTAGCTACGCACACAGAAAATGTCAAAATGCTTATTTTGTACTACCAGAAGATTTAATTGATATGTTAAGCTGAATATGAAACTGAATGAGTAATTGTAGAAGTGAATTTTAACTTGAAAATCCTTGAGTCTCAAACTATCAAACATTTTTATATTTGCAAAGTACTGTGGTAGGTACTTAAATTATCAGCTAAATAGTAAAAAAATCTTAAAAGGCAGAGTTCCATAGTATTAAAGTGAGCTAACAAAATACAAAAACAGATAACAAAGATAATACCAAGTATTCTATAAGAAAATAATAGGTATCTAGCAGCTGAAAAAACCCTAAAATTTTGGTGCCCAAAATCTTGTTAGCAATATAAATTAGAAGAAAACCCATCATATGTTAACAGAAAATACATAAAGTATCTTAATATTTGTGTATAAATAATTATGATAGGTATTTTAAGAGTATTTTGTTCTTTAAAATGGTTATTAGCTGGCTTCCAACTCCTGGTCTCAAATGATCCTCCTGCCTCAGCCTCGTTAGGAGCTGGAACTACAGGTGTGCACAATGTGCTTGGCTCATATATTTGTTAATTTTTAATTACAAAATAAAATCTTTAATAGCCCCAAACACTTTTACTATCAGTAATTAAGTTGTATAGTAGGGATAGTAGACTTTAAAAAAATAACTAATCTAGGAACCACTATTTAAAACATTATTGGATTAATTCATATTTAAAACAATTCTGTTTCTAAGAGAAAAGTATAAAAATGCATGCACCCTATAAAAGCTTCAAAGGATGAATTCATAAATTAGGAACTGCACATATAAATGGGGATCTGGCTTCAAATGCTAAGTTTTTCTTTGTTTTTTTTTGCAGTTTTTGGCTAAGGTTGGGTTTGAACCCACCACCTCTGGTAATGGGGCCGGTGCCCTACTCCTTTGAGCCACAGGTGCCCTGCTATTTTTATAACCTTTCACACATAGGTAAATACTAAGGATTTCTAAACTAATGCACTTAGAAGAACTTCTGATAATTTTTAAAGGCGGAAGTAGACTTTTTATATTATTCTCTTATTATATAGATAATCTTCAGGACTTCTGAAGTCTGCACAACAAAGTGCCCCTGATTCTGTATCGGGAAAGATCAACTATCACTGAGTAATAGCCAACTCAGGGAAATTCAATGAAAGTAACACTAACATTTTTCACTAATATTATAATAAAAGTAAGTTTTAAAAAGGTGAGCAGGAAAATAAAAGTGGCTCTTGTGCCCTAATATTGAGGGATATTTTATGCAATCACTGTTGTGCATAATATGTAATTATATACTGTTTTTTATCAAGATTGTGACAACTTGGGTAAAACATTGTCTTCCAAATGATTTGAACTTTTCTGCCACTTCTTCCTATCTGAGAGCACTGGACTTGATCATCACAGTTCTAGTTTTTTACTGTTTTGCTCATAATTTTTAAAATCCATAATCACACATCCATAGCTTTTAACAATAGGCTTGAAAATGTCTACCTTAGAAATACATGAGCGGGAAGAAAACAGAACATTGTATGCTGATACAAAAAAGGCAAGATGTTCACCATTTAAGAGCTTCTCTAAACTTTACCTTCTCTCATTTTATAAATGACTTAAAAAGTAAAGGGATAAATCTTGATTGTATTGACAAAAAAAAAAAAAAAAAGACAAAAAATCCACTGGATATTATTGGCTTCATAATGTAAGTTTTAATTCATGCCTCGTGATCTATAAGCTGAAACAGTGCCTGAGGTATAGTTGAAAGAAGGTGTGTAAAATAGCTGAAATAAATGGCATATGAAGCAAGACATACCAGGGTTTGAATCCTGGTTCTCCTGTGTTGGCTTAGGAAAAGTCATTTAGAATCTCTGTGTTCAATTACCTTGTTAAGTAGGGCCCAGCACTTTACAGGCACTAATAATTGGTAGACATTAGTATAGTATGCATATTAAAGATGTGATTTAGTTGAAATGAGTCTAATCAGAGATGAAATACATTATAGCAGTAAAAGAAAAAAAAGTCAGTTATTCATTTATGCAGGGAAATTGAGTTAGATGGAGTTAGTTAATATATGTTTCTCTACCCAACTGAGAAATGAGGGAGCAAAGCAATTAAAAGCACTTTTTTTTGGAAAGTGGAAATTTTAAAAATCGAGGAAAATTTTTCGTAAGTATCAAATTACTTAAAACACTATCATATTAGACATCTAAATCCAAGATAACTCATATGCACAAATGTAGTGGAAAAACAATAACAAAACAAAAGAGAAACTTTATAGCAATAATTTAAGCACTGAACTATGCCTCCCTTCTCTGGGAGATAAAGACAGAAGCATTAGAATTACTGAGATTTAAAAAAATGTGTATGTTAGCACTATGTCCTTTTCGGACATGAGTTATTTAGGATTTGTCCTGCTCCAATAAGTTCATGAACTATGTACCTGTGTGACCGCTACAGGAATTCCCTCTTGGAATGGGTTTAAAAATATAGTCTTTTAAATTCTCAAAAGGGAAATATTTTATGTCCCGGATTTATAGATTGATGCTAATTATTTTCTGAACAAATGGCATAATTTGGCTTTCCAAATTAAAAACTTGCCTGAAGGGTAAGCAGGTTTCAGATGAAATGAGTCTATTTCACCAAGCTAGGGTGTTTCTGGTAGGGTTTTGTACTAATTAAAAAGAAGGCAAAAAACCAAACCAAAACAAAACAAAAACCTAGGCATGGCCCAATTGCAATATATACAAGTTACTTTTCTGTGTCACATATAAAATAAACAGCAGTTAAAATTCAACTTTAGTAAATTCAAAGTTAAAATTAAATGCTTATTGTTTTTAAGGAAGAGTGCTTTCTTTCTTTCTTTTTTTTTTTTTTTTGAGATAGTCTCGCTTTGTCACTCTTGGCAGAGTGCTGTAGTGTCATAGCTCACAGCAACCTCAAACTCCTGAGCTTAAGTGATTCTTCTGCCTCAGCCTCCTGAGGCTGGGACTATAAGCGCCCAACACAACGCCTGGCTGTTTTTAGAGACTAAGTCTTGCTCTGGCTCAGGCTGGTCTCAAACCTGGGAGCTCAGGTAATCCATTCACCTCTGCCTCCCAAGTGCTGGGATTACAGGCATGAGCAACCTCGCCTGGCCCCCAAGTAGGAGTGTTTTCATGGTTGGGTTAGTTGGCCAGCTTCTGTGATACAGTAATAGTAATAAGCACTAACATTTATTGAATGCTTTTTTCTCTATGCCAGACACTGTTCTAAACACTTCACATATACTTATCATCCCCATACTGCAACCCTATAAAACAGCAATAAGCAATTTGTCCAAGGTTACGAAAGAAGGCAGAGACATGATTTTAACCCAGGACTGATTCTAGAATTCACACTCTTAACCTCTATTACTCTGCTTTCTAAAATGCAAATGACAAATTCTACCAAACAAAATTGTTAAATAATATTTAGCATACAGAGCCAAAATTTTATATCTTAACTAACTCCATCTAACACTTAAAGGGCCACAGAATTTTTTTTCTAGGGATAAGACAGAACTCAGTTTTTTTTTTCTTCATAGTTAAAGTTGTTAATTCATTTTAAGTGGTACAG